TTATTTCACGGAATCCTCACAACAACTCACTGAGCGACGCCTTCATTTTGAGACAGGCATAGATGGGTTCAATGACTTGCTCTGGTGGTTCTGGAATTTGATCCCAGGTCCTTGGGCTTTCTTGGTCTGGGTCTCCACATCTCTGCATCACTAGGGCCTATCATTATATCTTCATTTCTTCCCCTACTGTCTTATATGGCCTAATTTTTTGGATGACCCAAGTTCTTCATATCCATTAACTGGACTAATTGTGCAGAGATATTTGTCTTCTCTAACAGTAGAAAATAACAGGTGCTTCCTCTCTGGAATAACTCACCAAGGGCTAGGAAATAGAACAGCTTCTTCAACTCACAGAATACAAGTCTTCTGAAATATGTATTCAGAACAGGACTTGCATCTTTCTTTCCAGAAAACACAGAGGCCCTGGAGAAGAGGAGAGCTGCCTTCTGGGGTTGTGGGAACCTCTCATGCAGCACAGAGGCAGTCAGATAAGACAATCAGATGCAGGTGAGCTTTAGCAGGTGAGTGTTCTGCACCAGTACAATGGCCTCATCTGCACTACTGTCCCTGCCTGCAAAATGAAAATTTTGAACTCAATGACCTTTAAGGAACTTTTCAGCTCTGGAGTTTTTATTTCTTAATCTCCACGGGAAAGTTAGGTATGAACACCACTGTCTGAGTACTGACAACCATGCAAACAGCACAGACTGAGGTAGGTCCCTGCCAGCTTTAAAGCCCAGGGTAATGGGTACCCTGTGCCTGTGGTTATGCCTGTCCCTGGACATCAGACAGGAGTTGAAAGGAATCTCTGAACATATACAAGTATGGTGAAAAAGTGAATGCTGCAAGCTTTCACACGATCATTGTTGATTTGAGTTTATCTAGCAAATCATATTGGCAGTCAGCAATTAAACAAGAGGTTCTTGCTTAGTAGATCATTGTAAAAGAAAAAACAAAGCATTATAGGAGAAGTTGAAGCCAACTTCCACCTGCCAGTTTTAATGATGGTGCAGCCCACTGTCTTCCTGTTAAATGCTGTAGTTTATTAACAGTCTTTGTAACTATTCCTGAATGACAGCAAGAATATCACTGTGTGCCAAGCAGTTTTTCATTCCCATTGTTAATTAGGATGTTAAAATCTCATATGTATAGAAGATTTCTTTTATATATTTTCATTGCTTCTTCTTATGCAATAAATGTAAAGGCATGCATTTCTTATAATAGAGGGAGAAAAACCTTCAAAATATCATAGGAAGAACCTTAGGAAGTAAACTATGAAGTAAAAGCAAAGTGTTCACCCTTGATGTGCAGTTAATGTTTTTACTCGGAACAAAGTCATGTTTCAGACATTTTGGAATCAACTGGCTTCAAATGAAGTGGTATCTTTAGAACTTAAAGATTATTTTCCAAAGTATAATAAAATCTCCTGCTGTTTGCACATTGCTGAGACAGGCCTCATAAAATCAGCATTCAGCAAAATACACAGGATTTGGAAACTCAAATGTCCAACAAAAGAGCACTGGCTAATCAAGGTGGTACATAATGGAATACTATGCAGCCACAGGAAGGGCGAAACTATGCAATGTGCAAATGGAAGTGGATGATGTCATGTAAGTGAACTAAGTCAGAAGGAGAGGATGAATACTGGATGAACTCGCCCATCTGTGTCAGACAGAATAACAAGACAAGGGAATGGAAGGTATCAAAGGCAAATGTTTGGTTTTCAGTTACAAAATTGAAAATATCAAGGATGGAAAGAAATGGAAGAAAGAATGAAGTGGCTGTCTTGATGTATCAGAGGGGCAGGGGTCAGGGGTCTCGGACACATTTTTGGTGCAGAGGTGTGATGTCTGTACGCATCTTAGCAGCAGTGCTGCTGTAGGCGTGGGATGCAAGCAACAATAATTCAACCTAAAAATGTGCCTGTTAAGAAGCTGGATGCGGGTGGGAGGGAACCTGAGGATACTGGCATTGTATCTTGGCACTCGTGGTGGGGCTGGAACCAGAACTGTATGTCTGAAACTCAATGAGTACGAACTTTTGTAAATCATGGTATCTAAATTTAAAAAAAAAATCAGATGTCTCTGTACTAAAGGAGGGGGGTGAGGCATCATTGTCCCTCGTTAGAAGTGAGAAATGACCTCTCTGAGAGGTCTGTAAGAGCTGTTTTTTTCCAGTGATGCGAACTAAACAACCACGGGAAGCATTTTCTCTCTCCTGCTACCTAACTTCACCCTCAACAAAGTTTGTATTCCTTTTGGAGTTTCTAATGATGCTGCTTCTTCTTTTTTTTATTTTTATTTTTGCAGTTTTGGGTCACACCCAGCGATGCTCAGGGGTTACTTTGTATTGTATGTTGGATAACATTGGTTTGTCCTTTCTTCCTTGTTGCAAAGAATTTAGGTTTACTGGGTTACACCCATTCCTCTGTGTTTATCTTTAACCTCTCCTTTGCACTCTTCTTCCCCTATCTCTTAATCACTACATCCCCAAATCAGACCCCATGACTTGTAAAGTCAGATTTTTCTCAAGGACTATGGATTTTGTATATGCAAGTAAACTATTGCTTTCTTTTTCCCTTATGTCCTGTGCATAGTTTGCTTTAGAGAAAAGTCCTTTTTGTATAGACACAGGAAGACAGTCAATGCTATGCTTTTGTAACTATGGATTTAATTGACTCCAAATAATATTTACTCCTGGGCATCTGTCATATTTACTAGACTTAAGTCTCAGTTGGTCTTAGTTTCTAGTACCCCTAAAGGAGGGTCCTAAAGAAGGATAGACCCAGGGCAAGTCATGAACTATCTGGGCATTGAAAAGGGATAGGCCAAGTGCCATAAAACTTATAATAAGAGCATGTTCATGAACAAATTCTGCCATAACCCAAAGAGAAGTGACTGGACAAGGACCCTGTATGGAGGACTAATCTGGCCTGAGGACTGTAGTCTAGGATCTATAGCAAGATGTTCCCAGGAGAGCCACCCTATAAGCTTAATATATATCTTATTGTGTCCATACAAATGACTAGAAAGATTATTAAGAAGTAAATTTAAGGGGATTGTTTATAAGACTGAAGTGCTACCTACTGTGCTAATGAGGCAACTGGCAGGGAGGGCATTTGCCTTCCACATGGCCAAACTATGTTCAATTGCTGGCATCCCATATGGTCCCCGAGCACAGCCAGGAGTAACCCCTGAGCATCGCTGGGTGTGACCCAAAAAGCCGGAAAAAACTTGACTGTTTAAGCGGATATGGACTAAGGAAAGGAGAAATTCTCCCCAGAGGGGTATTCAACCCTTGGCGCGGATGGATCTCCTTGTAGGATGAGATTTCCCCTAGAAGAAACATCCCCTGAGGGAAGGGATGTACATCTGATGAACCACATGTATGTGTAAATGCTACCCCTAACCCTTCATGATTTGATTTTTAATAAAGGCTGTGAGACTGGGTGAAGGGAGATAGGAATGAGGGGCAGTGAGAGACTAGAATGAGGCACTGAGACTGGAACAGGCATGTGGTGAGAATGGAATAAACAGCATGAGGAAGATTGGGATAAAAGGTGACTGATCACCAAGCAGTGTGGCCCTGTTCCCTCCTTCATGATCTATCGGAAGCAGCTGGTTAGGGTGAGGAGACGGCTCGCGGACACTGAATGCACACGGAGAGCACCTACACTGTGTTGACACACGCTCATGGCTCTGCACTCAGGAATTACTCTTGGTGGTGCTTGGGGGATGATATAGGGATGGCGGGAATCGAACCCAGCTGACTGTGCATGCAAGGCAAATGACCCATCCACTGTACTATTACTGGCCTCTCTAACGATGCTCCTTAAGGTTTAAGAACACACACACACAGTAGGTGACTATACTTTCAGAATTGGTTCACTTTATCAAAGTTCTTCTCAGTCTCTATGCACTTGGCTGAGAGGGAAGGACAAAATATTAGCTGAGGGACCAATGGGTTCAAATTCAAGATTTTCTGCCTGTGGTAAGACCCAAATTCTCTTGACTATATCTTGGTCCTATGGCACCTGGATGGAAAGAAAGCCTGCCAATCTTTCTTGAAACCGAAGAAATGACATACAGGAGAGTCCTTTGTAAAAGAGCAAATATGTAAGAACAAAAGTTAGAGAGAAAAGCAAAAAGAGAAAATAGTGAGAGGGAAAGAGATAGAGGGAGAGAGAGAGGGACTAAAGATGGGCTTCACAGTGACACCTATTATAAGCTGGTATCATAGGAATGTTCAGAAAAGCTGAAAAACTATGTCCAGCGAGAAAGGTCAAACAAAAGTCAAACAAATGTCAAACCTGCTCCTCTCCCCGTCCTTTCCATGAATCTCCTCTCTATGAAACATTTAGGTAACAAACTGATCTAGCTCTCCAACAGAAAGGGAAGATAAATAGGTCAGTTCTCGAAAATAAGAAAAGGAAAATAAAGCAACCCTTATGCTCAAGCTTCTAAATACTTTCTAGATTGAGGAACAAGAAATGACATGAGTGTCACAAGTGCCATGGGCAGAAAGAAATGGGAGCCACTGTATCTTTTCTTAGTTAGGATGACAGACCTGAGGAACCACAATGCTCCTGGCAGAACTAAGGAGGCACGAGAAAAGAGTCTTGCTCTCTCCCTCAAGCTCACCCTCACCCACTTTGGTCTCCACACTGCTTTATATGTCGGTCAGCACTCTTCACTCTGGCTAGGTCACCACCTCTTGCACTCAAAGGGATGGGCAGAGATTAGAGCTGCACGTGGCAAAAATCGGTCCAAGTGCTAGGACAATTCCCAGACCTCCAACCCTTAGCACTGGTGAGCTGGCCACGGGGCTGACTGGGCTCCTTCCTGAGTAGGTCCTTTGTCAGTACTTGACTTCTGTCTGCTCGAGTCCCATATTCCTTAGGGAGTTGATGTGCCCTCACAAGCTTGGCCTCAGCTTGTGAGACGAGAGTCAGAAACGGCAGGAGAGAGTCTGTGAGGACCAAGAGGGCAGGGGCCACTTACAAAATTGGGCGAGACTGGAAGTCTTCCTGGTTCATCCTCTCAGACTGGCGGATTTTCAGGATCTCAGTGTAACTCAGGTTCTGCAGTTTGCTCTTGAACTGGTCCAGGGAGCTAGGCTTCGTTGTCAGAGCTCTCGTGACCTGCTCCTTCACCACCTGCATTACCTATGGATTAAAGGAAGATCGTCATTTGGGTGAGGTTTGTCTGGACTATTCAGAAAAAGTTATAGAGCCTCCCTCCCTTCATCATCGCCTCAAACCCTGAGTGTGCCCTGCAAATAGCCAACAGCCTTTAGTACCCTTCATTTGCTCCAATTTTGTTGGGACCAAGAAAGAGCAAATTAATAGACTAATGTGGAGTGGAGGGGGTGGGGGGCAAGGAAGCTGGGACTGGAGGAAGGAGCCTCGAATCCATGTATTACTTATCTGCTGCTAAAACAAGTAGCAAGCAGAACAAACTGAAGAGAAAAAAAAGTTGTGACAGCAGTTAGGGGCCTGCAGAGCCTTTTACCCCCAAAAAGAAAATTGCTGAGACACAGTGAACTGTGGAAGTTGGCTGGCACCAACTCAAATGATCGTGCACTGATAGCCACAGCTGCTCTTCCCATAACACTTCCTTTGTGTACCAAAGGCCCAAGCATTCATACAAATGGTGTACTTGAAAATGGACATGTCGTGTTGTATTTCTGAGCTAGGCACTAAAAGAAGAGGCTTATTAAATTAGAACAGACATATCCCACTGGAAGCCTCAAGAAAAAAGAAGATGGCAATTTGTTGCCTCAGGACAGATCCCATCCACAAGGAAGCAATTAACCATTACATCTATTAATGCCAATTCCTCTTCATCAGAATCCATAAAGCAAGCAACAAACAAAACCACACAGCAGCAAAGAGACTTGCTGAAATCTTGCTGCCTCTTTTCTGAGGGAGCCTGGAGGGCACTCGCCCTACGAGACCATCAGATGCTCCCTTCCCACAGTGCCTCAGCATCCGGGAATCCCAGGTCAAGGTGGCTTCATTGATTTGATGGAAAATGACTCAATGGCGGGTAAATGAGCTAGAGGTGACTAAAGGAAAATGAGTAGATACACTCTCAGTTGAGAGAAACCCTCACCTTTCCTTTTGTTTCTGACATTCAGTAACCCACATACACAATAAAAATAGCCTCTCGTAGGAAATACACATATGTTCATTTATTTCCCCCCATTTAGATTATGTATGATTGACTGATGTATTTATTTATATCTGCCTTCCCTTTCCTGTTGCGGCTGCTGCAATGACCTGGGGATATACATGTGTGATTGTGGTGCTCCTACACTTAAAATGTTAAAAAGTCTTCTGCTGGGGTCAGAAGTACAGCGATTGGACACCTGCTTTGTACATAGCTGCTTAGGGCTTGATCTCCTGAGCACCACCAGAGGTGATCCCTGAGTACAGAGCTGGAGTAAGTTCTGGGCATCACTGGCTTTGGCCCCAAAACCAAAGAAATAAAAGAAAATTCTAGATGAGTATCTGTTCTATTGTCATTAAAATACTAAAAAACATTCATTCTTCAAGTTCATGTGTTTATAACAGCGTTGACATTTATGGTCTTGGTGGACCTAGTTAGTTACTTCACCTCGTCACAACCAAAGTGCCTAAGCCTTACTCCTCCATCCCCGACTCGGCCATCCAGGCCCCTTTGTAACAAATGGCATGGACATATGTTCCTTTCAGATCAGAGTTTGGGGGAAGTAACATCATGGAAAAAAATAATCTGATGGTGGGAACCCAAGGAAGCTACAGATGCGAAGAAGGGAGTCACATCCCGTTACTCGTGGTTGTTTCACCCAGTGCTATTTGCTTGCAGAAGGCCTGCAGGCTCCTTCTGCCCAGGGAGAAGCTGCCTATGACAGAAGTTTATAAGGACATAAAGGCAAGTGACCTCAGGTTTCTGACCCATGGGAGCTTCTAGGGCCATTCTGGGTTGGCCCCTGCAGTCTAACTCAAAGGATTATTTGCTGTCGTTAACCAGACTGGACTTATAAAAAATATAAAGGACACTTTCCTTGAGAAGCATTCTTTGTGAAGTCAAGAACGCAAACATTACTGAGCACCTAGCCTATGTCTACCTGGGGATCCACTCAAGTAATTCAAAGATGAAAGGATCTGACTGACATGGGCAAGAATTATGATGATAAAAGCATGAAGAAAACAGAGAAAATGGATGCACGGAAGACTGCTGGCAGGTGGGGTGGCATTTCAGAGAAATTTTGCAAGGATGAGGACTGTTCAGTTGTTTGCAAAGAGATTTGCAATATAGCCACCACCCAGCAGCCTCTCAGAACTGGGGCTACATGTGAACTGGAACTAGTTAGATAAGCATCCCTTTAAGCTCCCAGCATACAGGAGTCAAGGAAAACTTCCAACAGACCTTCCACCTCACCTGCCTCTTTTTTTTAACTTTAACTAAAACCAAATGTTAAATTTGGTATGCCTGAAAAAATATAAAATTATGACCATTTTATATAATTCAGTTAAAATGGTGGCTAAATTTGGTCCAGACTGACTACAGCTTTGTTTCATGTGGAGACACCACAAAATCCACCTTCCCCCACTTAGAGACTCAGAACTGAGCCAAGAAGATAAATATCATCCCTAATATTATCTGGTAGTTCCTGGATGTTAGGATTGGTAAGGCAGACGAAGCTAGACAGTTACAGTGCTAAGGGCATCAAAAACAAGAAACAATTTTAAAAAGTAATTATTCCAACACAGGCAGAATTTGAGATAATCCCCATTTCCCTCATTTTAGAGATAAGCAGACATATGAAGGTTAGTGAATCTCACAGCTGCCGTGCACATAAGGGCACCATGGGGGTATGGAGTGCAGTTAGAATGAGGAGGCATGCACTGGGACCCTGGCAGAGGGAAGCAGGCACTCTAAGGATGGGTGTGACGTTGGAATGAGGCGTGTAGGAAATCATTGTTAACAGTACTACAAATCACGGTTTGTCAATAAAAATGGGAAACTCATTTCAACATTCACATAATTCTGCACAGAAATGATGTTAATCCCTTATGTAGAATGAGAAACTCTTCAACTGCTCCCTCTACCTTACGCTTAAAATCCACTTTTAAAATTTTATTTCTATAGCTGAATAGTTTGATCCCTTCTAGAGACAAGGATTGAGCATCAGTTCACGATCACGACCATCCTGTTATTCGTCGATTGCCTTGAGAAGGCCCTAGTAATGTCTCCTTCGTCCTAGCCCTGAGATTTTTTAGAAAATGCCATATTCAAGGCTCTTTCAGAGTTAGGAGAATGAGACCCATCATTGTTACTGGTATTTGGCATATTGGGTACGCCATGGGGAGTTTGCCAGACTCTGCCATGTAGGCAGGTTACATTCTGTAGAATGCCAGTTTGTCCAAAGTAGGAATGAGATAATAAGATGTCGCGCGGCCGCAAATGTGGCCGCACGCTTCCGGGAGCTGGGTTTTATACTCTCTGAGTCTTGGCCATTGATGGGATTACACAGCGCCAGTTGGCCAGTTGGTGGGTGTGACCCCCACCTACTGGAATTTGGAGGATCTAGGTGGAGGATGCTCAGCCCCGATCCGAGTAGGCTTGGAGATCTCAGTCCCAGGACCTGCATGCCTTTGTTCCTCTGTCGGTACCTTCATGAGTGTGGAGAGTGGTCTCAGCATGGTGGTGGCTGGTTCTGGAGGTCTTCGGCTGCCAGAGCCCTGGTTCGGGCAGGGAGGGAAACTCAACCCGCTCCCCTCCAAGGGGCCCCAGTGAGGACAGCCAGGCGCGGGGGCAGAAGACTGAGTATCAGTTAAAAGTTGCAATAGTTACTAATACTTTAGTTGGAAGAAAGTATAGAGCATTTCCTGAGGGTAGGTTGATATAATTAGGAAGAAGTGGCCACGAGGTACCTGGCTGCAGATAAAAGGAACATGGATGGTGTGTGGATAGCACAGCAAAGAGACGGATGGTTAAAAGGATGGCTTTGTCTGCTCCGCTTCACAATTCTGCTTGGTGCTGGCTCTGTAAAATTCTATGATCATTCTGTGTGCCAAGGAAAATGACCTCTAATGAAAGATGTTAGTGCTTTTTTTTTTAAGATGACAAAATAGCTATGCAAGTCAAATATTCCCCTCTCCCTTTGCAAAGTAGCATCTACAAGGGCTAAAATCTCTAATGCTTCACATTAACAGTTCAAGTTAAATCAACTCCCACAACCACTATCCTAAACTCTCTCCTCTTGGAAAACATCAGACCTTCTCTGCTTCTTTGAAGAATTCACAGAGAATGTTGCAGAAGCATCAGCAAATCAATACAGTGAACACTTTTAATTACAGCATGCGCTTTGCCAACGACATCAAAGAAAACATGCCCTTGGAATCTGTATTCACTGTTAGTATTGATGAATTATTTAATCAACAGCTGAACCCAGTCCGTACTGGAGGGAGTGGTAGTACAGAAGAGGGATAATATGTTCATGCCCCAGATACTTTCTGAGATGCTCTCGAATGCCAATGGGCTAAAGGCAGCCTGAAGACTTCAACTGGGATTGAGGAGGGGCCAGACATGCTGGTGCATGGAGGGAGTGTTTGTGGTCTCATTTAGATGGAAAAATGGGTACAACTGTGAAGAAGGACAGAAAGGCTGGCTGCATCACACAAGTGTAGCCTTGCTGGTGTAGATAAATTTTGTGTTAACTTTTTTGCAACCAGTAAGTCATCAGAAGATTTTGTGGGGCATGATAGTATTCAATGAGATGTCAGCATACACAAAAAGGGTTCATTATTCCTCCTGGACTTGGACTAAGAAGAGATGACAGAGAAATGGGACTGAATGAGGCAAAACTGTTGCTTGGACTTGAAAGATGAATGGGAGTTAGTGAGGTGGTGCAGAGGTAAAGGGGGTTCCAGCCCCGGATTCCAGCAAGAGCAAAGGGAGGATAGAGGCAGTCCAGGCTTGAGGCTGGCTGGGGAATCCATGTTGCAGCTTCTAGTAAAAGGATGTGTAGCAAGTGAGGGATTACTTATTCTTCAGAGTATAACATGCACAATTTTCAAGCCAGGCTCTGGCCTTCTGTCACAGTAGACTCAGTAGACTCACTTTTATGTGTAAACTGGGAGTGTACACAGCATCTCATAATCAGAATCTGTAAGGT